GTTCGAGGCTGAACTGGACCGACAGCCTCCAAAACAACACAGAGAAACCTTGTCTTGTAAAAACAAAAAAAAAATGAAACAGGAGAGAGAGAGAGAGAGAGAGAGAGAGAGAGAGAGAGAGAGAGAGAGAGAGAGAGAGAGAGAGAGAGAGACTAAGACTCTTGGGCCGCTTGACCTGAGAATCTCTCTAAAAGAGCTATCCAAGGAGCCAATAAGGCAGCTCAACAGCTAAAGGTGCTTCCCAGATGAGCCTGGCAACCTGAGTTCCACCCCCAGAACCCATGAAAAAGTGGAAGGAGAGAACGGACTTCACGAAGTTGCCCTCTGACCTGCATATGGTGCTATCACATATGAACCCACACACACTCATAATGTATACGTACACACAATAATAAAATAAATAGTCAATAATAAAAAATAAAGACCTGGTCATGGTGGCACACACCTATCATCTTAGTACCTGGGAAGCTGGGGCAGGAGGATCACTGTGAGTTTGAGGCTATTCTAGGCTACATTGTGAGCTAAGCCCAGCCTGGACTACATAGCAAGACCTTTAAAAAAACAGCAACAACAACAGCAAAATGAACAATGGGCAGTTTTACTGAAAACTCCCAAACTCTTGGTGTAGAGGAGCTGGAATGCTTCCAGATGCCTGATGTCCTTAGTCACACATACAGGACTTGGGGAGGGACACACTGGCCACAGCAGAGTGAGGTACAGGAAGGACAGACCCCAGTCTTCCCAACTCCTACGTCTCTCTTGAGGGTCTCTTTAACATTTCCATTTCAAGACTTTCATTTAGTGTAGAAGAGGAAGAACTTCCCCTGTACCTTCCCAAGATTTGATAAGTTTAAAGTATCATGGAAAGATCAGGGGGGGAAAGGTATGCAAATCTGTTACACACAGGAGGGCTAGAAGCATATATGGCTTCTTCATGGGCGGGTGGGGACAGAAGGTGACCAGAGCAACTTAGGGAAGTCTAAATGCTTTGGAGAAAATATGAACAGGTTCTCAGAATAGGTGACAGTCTGTGACAAAGTCTGTCTGAGCATGGTGTGGCCCTCCAGTCTCCTCTCAAGTGATGACAGTCTTTCCTGGTTGAAAGAGAGGATACACACCACTCAAGCTTTCTCTAGAGTGCCTATCTTAAGGCAGGTAAGCATGGTCCAGAGAAGGTCTCCCTCCCACTCCACACATTAGCTGTATCCCAAGTCCTTCAGTTTGATGTCATCAAAATACTAAGGTGGGATCTTAAAAAAAAATACACACACACACACACACACACATATGGGCTTTTATACATATGGGTGTTTTGTCTGCATGTCTGTCTGCATACCAGAAGACGGTACTGGATCCTATGGAACCACAGCCATCTCTCTAGCTCCAAAAGTAGAATCTTTAGGGCTGGTATCCCCTGAACTCCTTCAGCAGTTGCAGCTAAAAACAACAAAAACTTGGCACTACCCTTCAAGTCCCCATGATGATTTAAATGCTAACATTCTGTCCTTGTAAGCCCAAGGATATGCTTAAGAGGGGTCAGCGACTGCAAGGAGAGACAGAGGAGAGCCAAAGACTACAGGGACCATAATTCTTCTGAAAGCAGATCCCAAGTTAGCCCCTTGGAGTCATACTGTGGGTAGCGATGTAGGAGGAGGCTTTGGCCTTCTAAACACCTTCTGTGCCCCTAGGGAGCACTCTACATTTCCCTTCCAGGTGTCAGCAACCCCTGGGAAGAAAAATCAACCTAATATCTTCCACCTGCTTGCTTTCCAGTATGCAAGAGGGGACAGTGTCACACTGCTCTCTAGTCTCCCACTAGCTGAGGCCAAATGGACCCAATAGCCATTTCGAAATGAGTCACAATCCTAGGCTCTTAGAGGCGACTTCCCAGCAGGGTGCAGTGTTGGAGGTGGAAGGGTGGGTGAGCATGTGGGGGAAGGGAACAGGCTGTCCCCACAGCGTTTGGTCTCAAGGCCTGTACCCTGCCAAAGCTAGTGTTGGCAAAAAGCAAAAGTAGAGAGGAAGAGCAGGGTCAGCCCAGGCCCATTTCGTGCTTCTCAGCTGCAGCCCAAAGTCAGGCAAGCCTGGGGCTTGACATGCTCCTGCCACATACAATGTGTGTGTATGTGTGTGTACAAGTGTGCACACAAGAGGGGGTGTGCTAATCAGCCTGGGGGAGCACCTCCGACCTCAGTAAAGGTGTCAAGACCACTGAAACTCGAAGCCTCAGAGTCAGAGGCCCACCCTTGCCTAACCCAGGAACTGCCTCTCTCAGCAAAAAGGAAACGGAGGAGGAGAGGCTGAAGGAAGAGCTTTGCCTTCTAGGAGTACCCAGCATTCATCAGGCCAGCAACTCTCCTCAACCAACACAACCTTCCATGTCTGTCTGCCAAGCAGGGCAGAGGGCTTTGTGAGCAACTCCTTTGTCCCAGGCACTCAATCCCTCTCCCAAAGCCTTTTTCAAAGAAAAACAAAACCTTTCTGCCTATAAGGAAAGTCAGGAGTGATGTGTATTAAGGCAGGGCCTCCACATGGCACACTGCTTCTGGTGTGAAAGGGGGAGATGGAAGAGAGGAAAGAATGGATCTCCCAGACCTCTACCTCCCAAGTGCTGGGATTATAAGTATGCATCATTATGCTGGGTCTACGCAATGCTAGGATAGAACTCAGAGCTTTGTGAATGTTAGACAAGCATTCTTCCAACTGAGCTACATCCCCAGCCCATCCTTCCATCTTTGTACACAAATGACAATTCTCTAACATCAGCTAGCCATTTCACGGTAACGCACAGTGTCAGGTCCTACAAGGTAAAAGGCAAAGTCCATCTTTACTTTGGATGTTGGGTACAAGTGGGGTCCTTAGGCTACCTGCACTTTTATCTGATGTGGTTACAAATCTAGGAGCATCACATACCTTCCTAAAATTTGTTCAGAGTTGAGCATTGTGGCACATGCCTGCCATCCCAGCACTAGGGGGCTAAGGAAGAAGGAGCAGGTGTTGAGGGATAATCTTTGTGTTCCCTGTGAAGATGTGTCTCTGCCAAGGCACCTTCTGATTGGTTTAATAAAGAGACAAATGACTCATAGCTAGACAGGAGAGGATAGTCAGGACTGCAGGGCAGAAACAGGAACTTGGAGTGGGAAGGGATCTGAGAGGCAGGGAATTTGCCAGTGAGACTTGGAGGACGTTGGACATATAGTATGGGGAGAGGTAATGAACCACATAGAAGAACACAGATTAATATAAACGAGTTAATTTAAGTCATAACAGCTGGTTGGGAACAAGCCTAAGCTAAGGCCAAGTTTTCATACTTAATAAAAAGCCTCTATGTCATTATTTGGGAGCTGGCAGCCCAAAGAAAGACCAGCTATAATCAAGAGTTCAAGGTCAACCTCAGCTAACTAGCCAGTTTGAGACCAGCCTGGGACACAAAAGACTGACTCAAAAACAAACTAAAATTTTTGATAATTATTCAGTGACACCTGATGTCTCAAAAAATAGAGATAAAAAATGATAACTTATCCAGATAACTTCTAGAATTCACTGAAAGTGCTGTCCTTATTATTACTGTTGAATAAAAAAATATGACAAGAGGGGGCTGGAGAGATAGTTTAGTGGTTAAGAGCACTGACTGCTCTTCTAGAGGACCTGGGTTCCGTCCCTGGGACCCGCGTGGTGGAAGGAGAGAACTGACCCCTGCAAGGTGTCTTCTCGCCTCCACACCGCTACCATGGCATGTGCATATGTGTGTACACATACACTCATAACTAACTAAACATAATTTTAAAAAATATTGCATTGCACCCCTAGCCCCGGGGGTAAATGGTGGGCTGGGGATGCAGTCCAACAGTAGAGAGTTTGCCTGGCCCAGTGTTCAATCCTCAGTCTGGCAAACAAAAAAGGATGTCTTACCTGATTACCCCAATGGGAAGGATCCGTGCCCTAAATTATGAAAGCCCCTTTGAACCCGCCCCTTACTATAAGACAACCACATTACCACACACACATAAAAAGATTTTATGTGCATGAATGCTTTGCTTTCATGTGTGTTTGTGTAGCACAAGCAGGCCTGGTGTCCACAGAGGCCGGAAGATGGCTTCGGATCCCCTAGAAGTGGAGTTGCAGACAGTTGAGCCACTTGATGTGGATATTGGGAATCGAAACCCAATCCTCTGCAAGAACAGAAAGTGCTCTTAACCACTAAGCCATCTCTCCAGCCCACTATACACATCTTTATCTCCCAATTTATTGCTAAGCACTCCATCCCCTTGTGCCCCATTCCAAACAACAACACTGTGTCTGTGAAACATCTGTGAACTCTACATAGACACCCTTTCTCCGTAGCCCCTTCCTTTGCCCACCAAGGACCCATGCTTTCCCTCACAGAGTCTGGGCTTTTCTGAATAGAATGTGACCATCTGCCCTAACTGTGAGTTCCTCTGGGGCAAGTGTCTATGCTCTGATCCTTGGAGCAGCCCAACATGTAGCACAGGCCCAGCACATGAGCAGAAAAAAACCCAGTTCTTCCTAGAGATTACCTTTCTCATATTTCGGCAAAATAAAAGAGTACTGGCTAGGCGGTGGTGGCACACGTCTTTAATTCCAGCACGTGGGAGGCAGAAGCAGGTGGATCTCTGTGAGCTGAGGCCAGTCTGGTCTATAGAGCCAGTTCTAAGACAGCCAAGGCTACACAAAAACTGTGTCTTAGGAAGAAAAAAAAAAGAATAGTAGTGATAGGTTATGTTTCTACTGGGAACAATGAAAACAAACTTGGGAGTCGGGTAGGACTAAGTAAGGCAAGGTCAAGGCTCGCCTCCTCCAGCAGAACCCTGAACCTACCGACCGTTTTGCTAAGATTGCTTTTGCAGACACTCCACCAGCAGGCAGACGGACTGACAGGATGAGGAATGGGACCAACGCAACTGGAGCAAGCAGCTGGCAGCATTAAGCAGCAGGCCCAGCTGAAAAGAGCCGTCTGGAAGCTGTGTGAAAGCTCTCCCTCTCGTGGCTTCCAGCCCATGATAGCCTCAGAGCAGTGTCGAAGTCCTTGCGAGCTTAGAGCTGCTGGTATACGATGACAGCATAGCGGAGGCCCGGGAGGAGTAGGAGCAGCCTGCTCAGCTACCTGCTGCCCTAGGAGACTTCACCCACTGGCCCTTGCAGGACCCCCTGAAAGTCCTCAGTGGGTAGCCCCAAGGTGGAGGTGAGTGGCATACCCTAAAAAACAAGATTTCCTTTTCCCTGCATGGCAAGAGATTGCTCAGGAGAGAAGTAACCAGACACCAAGAGACACGGTGACAAGGTTTCTGGGTGGCTCGAAAGTTGCTCTGCATCTAACACAGGGGCTTGACTCTCACACAGCTGAGGCTTGACACTGCTCCTGGCTGCCCGCCCCGCAGTCCCGTTGCACATGCTCCCCTGTCTGGCGGGAGGGGGAGCCACAGTTTGGGATTGGAAGGAAAGGAAAAGGCTTACTCCCAAGAAATAGTTAATTGTTTCCCTTCCATCAGGCCCCCTGCACCTGCAGGCTGTGGTGTGGTTTCCCACAGCTGCAGCTGGCCCACAGCAGCCCCCTCCCTCCAAGGGAACCCGAGAGGCCTCAGAGTCTGAGGCGCCTGCAAGGGGCTCTTCATCCTCCACTCAGTTGCTAAGGATGGTATGGGGTGCTCTTAGAGTCCTCTAGAGCTGCCACAAGGAGTCTTCTGGTTGTGTGATCAATTTGGGGTCCCTGCTTAGACGTCAAAGGCAGAGATTCTGTTTTGGAAACTAGAAGGGGTTTCTTGAGAAGAAAAAATAGCTGTAACTCTTCTCCATAGAGTCCCTCATGCCCTAGTGTGCCTCACTCTGTTGACTTCTAGAAGACACCGACTGGCCTCGTTAGTGTTGACTTGGCATCCTGGCTGCCTGAGGTAGGACACGGAGCTCTAGAAGAGAGGGTGAGTAAGTATGACAGGGGAGGGGGTAGGAAGAGTGAGACTGGGCAGGAACAGACCTCAGCTGGTCACAATAGCTTTGAATTCACAGAGCTGGGACTCCAGTAAGGCCTGTTCTCTAGCCCCCAAAAAGATCAGCCTGCCTTGGAGTCCTAGCTAAGTACCCAGCTTCCCTCTGAACCAGAAACAGGATACAGGGATATCCTGAAACAGGCTGAGACGATGAGGCAACAGGTCCTGGGAGCTTTCCTGCTGGGACATCTCCCTGGACCGAGCACTAGATGAACATGAAGTTCAGTCTAACTGCCAAACCTTTACCTTTGGCCTGCAAAACATGGGCTCAGATTCCAGGGGATAGGTGACTGATGACACCTGGGGTGCCCCTTCCAGGGCACAACCAAGGAATACTCACTTTGGTGCCAAAGCCAGAGGACATGGGGGATGGGATGGCAGGAATGTGACAGGCAGGAATGTGACAGGACCCTGCACTGTGACAGGGTCCAAAGCCCTGGCTTCTTTTGTATCCAGCCCCAGGCGATGCCAGAGCACTCCCCCACCAGACCCTCGGCCTCGGGCCCAGCGCGGCCTTGGTCCCCAGTTGCAGAGACCATTTGGCAAAGGAGGCTTGAGAGAAAACAGCGCTGCCCATCTCAGTAACCCAGTCAGATGTAGGGAGGAGGAAAGGAGAGGCAGGCAGAAACTACAGCTCAGGAATAGGCCAGCTGCAAGGTGACAGCCAGGGCCTGAGAGAGACAGGGTGCATGCTGACAGGGGCAAGCTTCGGTCCCAAATTCCACCTAACATCACCTTCCTGTCAGGCTATAACCATGTCCAGCACCAGTGTCAGGAGACCACTGTGTGCTCCAGAACATGCCTGACACATTCACAGCCAGGCCACATAGCACACCAAGAGTGCACAGCTCTGACTGAAAAGTGAACACCAACTTCTGATTCTCTCCAGGTGTACAGAGTCAAAGCTGTGTGAAAGAGAGAGGGACCAGAGAGATGGCTCAGTGGTTAAGAGCACTGGCTGCTCTTCCAGAGGACCTGAGTTGATTCCCCCAGGACCCACATGGTCACTTACAGCTATCTATAACTCCAGTTCCAGGGGAATTTGACACCTGCTTCTGGCCTCCATAGGTACTGCAGGTACATGGTACACACACACACACACACACACACACACACACACACACACACACACACAAATTCATATTATAAAAATAAATAAATCAAGGTTCTGGGAAGCAGGTGCCTGTGATGAGGTGACTTTGTCCACAGTGGATTACATGTGCTTCATGGTTGTTTTAACTCTATATCCAGTATTTACTCATTATGAGCTTGGGAGCTTACTGCCAACAAAAACACAAAAAGCCTGCTATTGTGAGTGCTACTGACCGGACCTCCAGTGTACTTTTTGGCTTTCCCAAATGGCCTTTCTCTTTTCCTCCTTGCTCAGAGACACACATTTTACTCTATCATGTCAACATTTCATTGTCCTTTGACAAGGTATGTGCACATCTCCATTGCTAAGTTATAAAATGCTTTTGCTCATTCATTAATTCATACAACATTCAACAACATTAACTGAGTGGCTACTGTGGGTGATTTATGGTGATGGTGTTGGGAACACTCTGAAGAAACAAACAAACAAACAACAACAAAAACAGTTCCCATGTCTTTGGAGAGCTGACAGGCCACACTCCAAGAGCCACAGCCAACATTCTAGATAGGTTACACTTTGCACCCAGTCATGACTGCTGAATACTTCGAGTTTCTGGAAACAAAGATTCTAAATAAATTCTCTAAATAGAATGGTGACTTATTTTTAATTAAGTTTGCTTTTTGTAATGATCACCTAAAATGAGAAAGCAATAGTCCTTCAAATCTCGCCCCAATGTTCTAACCTGCGTTATAAAGCAGTTTTACGGACTGGGAGACACCTCCGTGTGTAAAAGTACTTGCTATGCAAGGGTGAGGACCTGAGTTATAATCCGAAGAAATCACATAAATCTGGACATGGAAGCTTTTACTTGTAATCCCAGTGCTCCTATGACAGGAAGCGGGCAGAGAGAGGAGAACCCTGCAAACTTGCAGGCCAGCAACAACAAGGGAGACTGCATCAGACAAGCAGGAAGGGTGGGTCCTGATACCATGGCCAGCCTGGGATACATGGAACTCTGTACTACAAAGAAATACATACACACATACATGCACGCACACATACATACATGCACGCATACATACATACATGCACGCATACATACAAAAATAGGGAATGAATATAAAGTATAAAAAAGTGGGTTTTCAGCCGGGCGTTGGTGGCGCACGCCTTTAATCCCAGCACTTGAGAGGCAGAGGCAGGCGGATCTCTGTGAGTTCGAGGCCAGCCTGGTCTACAGAGTGAGTTCCAGGACAGCCTCCAAAACAATACAGAGAAACCCTGTCTCAAAAACAACAACAACAAAAAAGAATAAAGGGGAAAATAAATGGTTACAAAGACCACATATTACATGTACTAGGATTTTTCTTTTAGGCCACCAACCAGCTCCCAGATCATGACATGGAGACTTGTTATAGTTATAAATGCTCCGCCTAACTTAGGCTTGTTTCTGGCCGGCTCTTCTAACTTAAATTGACCTGTTTATCTAGCTACCTTTTGTCTTGGGCTTTTTAACCTTTCTTTCTGCATATCTTGTTTCCACTGCTTCTCCTGTCTGGCTGATGGCTGCCTAGCTTCTTGTCCCAGGTGCGTCCCTCTTTTCCTCCCTTGTTTTATGTCCTCTCTGTCCTCTCTCCTCTCTCCTCTCTGCCCTCTCTCCTCTCTGTCCTCTCTGTCCTCTCTCCTCTCTGTCCTCTCTCCTCTCTCCTCTCTGCCCTCTCCTCTCTGTCCTCTCTGTCCTCTCTCTCTGTCCTCTCTGTCCTCTCTCCTCTCTGTCCTCTCTCTCTCTCTGTCCTCTCTGTCCTCTCTCCTCTCTGCCCTCTCTCCTCTCTCTCCTCTCTCTCTGTGTCCTCTCTCCTCTCTGTCCTCTCTCCTCTCTCCTCTCTCCTCTCTGTCCTCTCTCCTCTCTCTCCTCTCTGTCCTCTCTCCTCTCTCCTCTCTGTCCTCTCTCCTCTCTCCTCTCTCCTCTCTGTCCTCTCTGTCCTCTCTCCTCTCTCCTCTCTGTCCTCTCTCCTCTCTGTCCTCTCTCCTCTCTCCTCTCTGTCCTCTCTCCTCTCTGTCCTCTCTCCTCTCTCCTCTCTGTCCTCTCTCCTCTCTGCCCTCTCTGTCCTCTCTCCTCTCTCCTCTCTGTCCTCTCTCCTCTCTGTCCTCTCTCCTCTCTGTCCTCTCTCCTCTCTGTCCTCTCTGTCCTCTCTCCTCTCTGTCCTCTCTGTCCTCTCTCCTCTCTGTCCTCTGTCCTCTCTCCTCTCTGTCCTCTCTCCTCTCTGTCCTCTCTCCTCTCTCCTCTCTGTCCTCTCTCCTCTCTGTCCTCTCTCCTCTCTGTCCTCTGTCCTCTCTCCTCTCTGTCCTCTCTGTCCTCTCTGTCCTCTCTCCTCTCTGTCCTCTCTCCTCTCTGTCCTCTCTCCTCTCTGTCCTCTCTCCCCTCTCTCCTCTCTGTCCTCTCTCCTCTCTGTCCTCTCTCCTCTCTCCTCTCTGTCCTCTCTCCTCTCTGTCCTCTCTGTCCTCTCTCCTCTCTGTCCTCTCTCCTCTCTGTCCTCTCTCCTCTCTGTCCTCTCTCCTCTCTGTCCTCTCTCCTCTCTCCTCTCTCCTCTCTGTCCTCTCTCCTCTCTCTCCTCTCTTCTCTCTGTCCTCTCTCCTCTCTCTCTCTCCTGTCTCCTCTCTGTCCTCTCTCCTCTCTCTCTCCTGTTTCCTCTCCCGCCAGCAGTACCACCTATCCCTCTCTCCTCTCTCTCTCTCTGCCCCCCCTCTCTCTGTCCTCTCTCCTCTCTCTCCTGTCTCCTCTCCCGCCAGCAGTACCACCTATCCCTCTCTCCTCTCTGTCCTCTCTGTCCTCTGTCCTCTGTCCTCTCTGTCCTCTCTCCTCTCTGTCCTCTCTCCTCTCTGTCCTCTCTCCTCTCTGTCCTCTCTCTCTCTCTCTCCTCTCTCTCTCTCCTGTTTCCTCTCCCGCCAGCAGTACCACCTATCCCTCTCCTGCTGTCTATTGGCCATTCAGCTTTTTACTAAACCAATCAGGTGCCTTAGGGCAGGCAAGATGAAACAAATGCAACACATCTCTTCATAATTAATCACATTCTTACATCGTTAAACAAATGCAGCATAAACAAATATAGCACACCTTTACACAGTTAAAGTAATATTCCGCAGCATAAACATATGTGACACATCCTTACCAGTTAAAATAATATCCCACAACAATTACGTGATTCCATTTATATGAAGTATCCAAAATAGAACATCCATAGAAAAAGAAAGCATTAGATTAGTGGTTGCCTGGAGATGGAGGAAACACAGAATGTTAATGGATACTGGGTTTCTTTGGGGGGAAGTATAATGGAAATGTTCTAAAACTGATTATGGTGATGTTTGCACAACCCTATGAATATACCAAAAAACCATTGAGCCGTATACTTTAAAGAAGTGAATTACATGGTGTGTGAATTATATCTCAATAAAGCTATTATTTTAAGAAGGATCACGGGCCATTAGAGAGTTGCTTTAGCCATTCAGGCCACTGTGGGAGAATAAACTACAGAGGCAATGGAGAGGAGAGGAAGAGGCAGGAAAACAGTTGGGAGGCTATGGCATGGGGCCAGGCACAGCTTCATGGAGACTTGGCTGGGACCGGACACTCTGTGATAGGAATTAATGAGGTCGGGCTGGGGTGTATTTTGAAGTTAGACTTTGACAATGAATTAATATAAAGAGCCAGGGAAGGGAAGCTGAATCCAGTCCATCTAGTTGCACGGAAGAAGAGTTGGGTGAAGGGACAGTCAGGGAGTCACAGCTCTGCTTTTGACATGACAGGCCTCCCAGATGTTTACTGGGTAAAGGAGACATCAGGAAAGGGTCTCCGCCATGCGGAGAGGCACTGCTGAAGGCTGAACACTAACCAGCTATTTATGTAATTGCCTTAACAATGCTATGAGGCAAGTGCCACAGTTATCCTCATCTACGCTAGACACATGTACTAGTTCAAATGTCCTTGAACTGGGCCAGAGAGATGGTCTGGACAGTACCCACATCAGGTAACTTACAGCTGCCTGCATTCCCAGTTCCAGAGATCTGACGCCCTCTTCTGGCCTATGTAGGCATCTGCATCACGTGGTGTGTATATTCATGCAGGCACATGTAGGGGCGAGCCCACAATACTGTCCACAATACTGTCCCTTTGGCGTGTGGACAGTATTGTGGGCTCACCCCTACAATACAAGCACACACACACACATAGACACGTAAACAAAAGAAAAGCTAAACCTCACTTGTAAATTTACAAAAGTCCCTGGCCTCACCTCTCTTTCTAGCCACGACTGCAATGATCAGCTTTGCATAGGCAGATGGGGTCTTCATGATGCCTCTGACTCCTGACCCAGGGCAGAGGCAGCTTTTACACATGCTTAGCATTGTCATATAACCCACCTGGGATTACAAAAGTCAATAAGATGGCTCAGAGGGTGACAGTGGTTGCCACACAACCCTAGTGAGTTACTTCATCTCTGAGACTCATGTAAAGGCAGAAGGAGCTGGGTGGTGATGGCACACGCCTTTAATCCCACCACCCTGAAGGCAGAGGGAGGTGAATTTCTGAGTTCGAGGCCAACCTGGTCTACAGAGCAAGTTTCAGGACAGCCAGGACTACACAGAGAAACCCTGTCTTAAAAAAATAAAAAAGTAGAAGGAAAGAAGAGACTCCACAACACTATCCTCTAACCTCCACTTATGCATTGTGACATGTGCTCCTCCATACGTCATTCATCTCTCTCTCTGTCTCTCTGTCTCTCTCTGTCTCTCTGTCTGTCTGTCTGTCTCTCTCTCTCTCTCACACACACCTCTCTGTGTCTGTCTGTGTCTGTCTGTCTCTGTCTGTCTGTCTGTCTGTCTGTCTGTCTCTCTCTCTCTCTCTCTCTCACACACA